CAGCGTAGTAAGACTGACATTTTGAAGTTCAAACATTGAAGTACCCAACGAAGTACCTATTTGTACTAACTAGTAACTGCCAACTTAAGAGATGAGTTACCAAAAAAAAACGACTATAATCACTGTCTTTGTACAACTGTTTTCGACTTCGGTGAACGAATATTTCTTGATGGTTGTGATTTTGGGGACGCAATTTAAATAAATAGTATGGTAGTATCATTGTATTTCCACTTGACATTATTATTTTCAAACTTTTCAAACTCAGATTGTTGGATCCGAATTAAAATAATACTATATCACAAATGGGAATTGTTGCCAGTTTAACCAGGAAAGTGGCAAATTTTGAGTTGTTTCACGTTACATATTGTTTTTTTTTGTTTAGGATATTATAATAATAAACGATCAAAAGCATTAAAGTTTCATATAAAAAAGTATACCGCTCAATTTTTCGTGCCTGTTAGTGTATTCCCAAGTGCCCAATTGCAAAAAACAGTCTTAAAATCGTCTTCTGTTATAAATGCACCATAACTTTCTCGTGTCTTCTCCTCTAAATATATCAAAAGAACTGTACGTAGTTAAATGCCCTTTTTGTTTTGCTCAGAAAACAGAATCCTATTCATTAAACAAAACTTGTCATTTTACATTTTGTTTACGTAAATAGTCGAGGTAGTTTCTTTGAAAATGATCAAACGTATTTACTTGACGCGTACTCTAAAAATAATTTATTCCAAGAAGTATTTTAGTTAATGCTTTGTAGGTGCGTAACTATATTGGTTAATATATTGTGGGTAACGCTTCCTTTAGTACATGCAACAATTTTTAATTGTTACTGTTAACATATGCAATTTAATAAAAGCATTGGAAAATGTACAAGTTTATTACTTCGCTCAACAATGAAAAGTGTTCATTGTTCGAACCTACTTCGTGATTTAGGTAATAAAATTAATCCAATTGAAATAAACCCATCTGGAAAAGTGAAAAAGGTGCGTTTGTATGCGATATGTTCGTTTCTCAGTCCAAATTTATGTTTGCGATTCGAACGATTTGGAAAGTTTTCGACGAGCATCGAACTTATGCGGTTAAAACTTTCCTTATTTTGCGATTCCAAAAAAATGAGCTTTTTCAGCACGTGGCATATCTACAATTTATTTGTGTGCTATGGATTTGTGTATGGTTACCTATTTATGAACCAATTACTATTAGGGAAGACTATCGAATATATTGACAGAATTCAAGGTCTAGCAGACCACTTCACCATTTCGTAAGAAAATGTTCTGTGTTTGCATATAATTATCGTGTACAACTTATGCTGACTGACTGGTATTAAAGATGATCTTTATACATGCTTGAAAAAAAATGGTACCATGCATTGCGCTAGGTTTACAAATCTCAATCGCAAATTAGCACTAGCCTCTCTTGTAAGCAAGCTCATCAAAAAACTAATGCTTAGTTCCACGGTATAGTGCTACATTTCATTAAAAAAACATTGCTACTTCACTTGGTTTGAAGTATGAGTCCTAATTGGAGAAAGCCATGACCAAGAAACTAAAGAAGTAACTTGTAAAAAATGATCAAAGTCCTCGTGTGAGATCGAAGGGACTTCAGCGCATTTTTGTGTGGCAGATCAGTGTTTTATTAGCCAATATTGACTCCACCATCAATAAGATCTTGCCGAAAGCTACCACGTTCACTTTGTCCATCAATCTTGATCTTGCGGAAAGCTACCACGTTCACTTTGTCACAATCGGAGAAAAACTGTAGAAGAAGATAGATAAAAACTGAAAAATCTCCAGGTTAGTATAATACGCTCGGGGATGGCGTCCAGATGTCGTCGACTCCAAATCTTGTAGCCCCATCCCTAACGTTCTTAATTACACGGCCCCGATAGTTACATGTACACTCCTTGTCTTTTTACAAGCGTTTTTCTACGGGCGCGCATTTACTGCCAGCCAGCCAGCCGACCAGCCAGCCAGCCAGCCAGCCAAAGTGAGATTAAAAGCTACTTTTTACAAAAAAAAATTTTTGCAAAAATGCGCTAAAAATTATTGCTCTTTCCGAGGTACCGTAGAGCGGTGTCAATAATAATCATTTTTTTAATTCGACACACCATAATGCGGGTTTATGTCGTTGACATTTGGACATTTCGTTCTTCTGAATTTCTTAAGAAAGTTTAATTATTCTCTCAAACTAAAAATACTCGCACATTGTTACACTATTGTACCTATGCTCATTGAGATCTCTACCCAACCTATGCCCTAGTTATTATTTGAAAGACCAGTAGACAGCCAGAAATTACGCTTTTGTTTTACATTATATTATAAATTCAACGGTCACAAGGAGTTCAAGTGCCGATTCCTAAGCTGAATATTTCGTTCAATTTTAAGTTGATCTCCATAAGACTGATCTTAAAATGTAGGTAGTTCTTTCCTCTCGACCTTTAATTTTGAGAACTAACGAACCGTCCAACTTATCTTCGTATAGTTCATACAATTTACAGTTTAGTAGAACTTTTAATTCGTAGTATTGCTTCAGATGGAAGCAGGTGAAGGACCACCATGGGGAAAGAAATAATTTTTGGCAATTACATTTCACCACCAACTCAGGCCAAACTCTATACGTTCGAAATTTTAATTAGACCAGCTTTTGATGGTCTTGCGTGTCATTTATTGGCTGCTGGTGTGTTTAGAGACATTAACACTGATATTTTTGTTTATTGTTTTGCTGTCCTTATTAATTATCTACTTCATATTTTGGAGCAACCTGGTAATATTACTAATTTTTGGACATCATTTTAAACATGTTCGATTATGTAAGAAATTTTAGAGGTTTCCTACTCTGCAACATATTATTTTGATTAGATATGGTGTTGATCAATTCAAAAATTCACAGGAAAACTTGAAATATTAACATGTTTTGCTCCAACGAAAAGAAGTAGGAATTCCGTTACACGAAGCAAGTATGTGACGTTAATGACAAGGCTAAATCATAATCGGCGTTTAATTGTTTCTGTAATTAACACTAACGACTTAAATGTATTAATACCTATAAGCGTGATAAATACCTAGCGTGCAAGTCACAGTTTAACCTCACCACACCAAATCTTAAAATTGATTATTATTGAAATAATAAAATGAGGATCTATTGTTTGGTTTTGTGGATAAGTATTCTGGTTCCTTCAGTTCCTTGACATCCTGTGACGCTCACATACATTAGTAAATGACAATTATCTGAATTCGTTTTTGTTACACTCACCGTATACTTTACACCTATAGGTACCTGAATTTGCATAATTCCAGCGTCATTATAGATTTCTTGTTAAATTGCCGTCATGTCGTTAGTGAATTAAGAGAAAGTTGCATGTATATTTTTGTAAACCGCACTTCTTGTAAAACGAATTTGTCAAAATCACGTTCCAACACTATAAAATACATTTACCTCAGATAGATGTAATCCGAACTTGACAAAATCACACAATTATCGTTTTAATAACTTATTCACTTTACTCATGCAACAGTTAACGAAAACTAAGCTAATTTGTTGTAGTGTTAGTTTGTATAGTATGATTAGTTCCATTAAAACAAATTACAGACATTAACATTAATTTGATAAAACATTACGGACTGCCATGAGGTTATGCCATTATGTCATAAGTGACTTAACACCTTATCAATCACGGAACCCTAAAGCCAACTTCCCATAACAAATCATTCCTGCTGTAATAATATTTCAATTTTGCCTATTATTTACGGTCAACGTTGGTATTTGGTATTGTCTCAGAAAGTTACAAAAATTAGTATTGCCAAACTAACATTTTAATCGGATCAACCTTACAAAATTTTCCATCAAAGCACCTACCTACGTAGGTGAGAAAACCAAAATTTCCAAAACGTAAGTATATAATTGGGTGGTAGCTTTTATGTTTGCAGGAAATAATCGGTAAGTTTTTAGATTAGAATTCAAAATAATAGCGGTTGGTATATTTGTACCCCACGAATAAATTTCATAATTCCACAATTTAGGTGAACTTCCAAGGCATTTCAGAATGCAGTATTTCTAAAGAGAAAGTTGTCTCCCCAAAACAAGTGGGCAACACTGGGTACCTTGAACTATAAACCTGTAGGTTGAAATTTTGTAATTTCTAATAGCTAATTACCTGCGCACGTACACTCAAAAGATTTGAAGGACTTCTTTTTCGAATTTTACACTACATGTTCGGGTCGAAAATGTTATTACTTCAGTAAGGAATTGATTAAATTCATCCCTGACTCTTATTTCCCTGTGCTATTACTAGTTCTACAATTGATTTCAAATTATAGACTACTAATTGAACCTATGCGACTTTTAATTCACTACTTTTTTGACAAAAACGCCTTTGTTTTCAGTATATCAAAACATATTCACGAATTCCAACATCCCTTACAATGGATAGTACCTCAGTTTTCTATCGGTGTAATAACTTTCTTGTAGCAATCTACCACGTTATCAAGTGAACTTTTATCTCCTGATTGGAAAAGAGACTGTGGAATTTCCGTACAGAAACCTTGATGAACTGGAATTTAGTAAACGTAAACCTGAAAATTCTATTATTAAACCAAGTGATAATGAAGTGGCTTTATTGAGTAGGTACATCGGTTTTTTGTCTAAATTTATCTTCTAAATCCCGTTTTGTAACATCGGTCTTTTTGTTTTTTTGGATTTCAGCGCTGCAACGTATTTTTGAAATTAATTAGAGCCGACACAGTAAAGATTATCTAATGAATGATTTATTCGATCACATTGCTTATCAACATGTATGATTAGCAAATGTTCTAACAGTGTAGTAATTGACTGACAAGTACCTAAAGAACAAATTTTGATAATTGTCTAAATGGTACTGTTTATTTTTGTGTGATAATACGATAAACGTAACCAAATTGGAGATTCAGGTGTTAAATGTTGACAACAATGAAAACAGGTCTATCGCCGTAGGCACTTAACTATCATTTTTAGGAAAGACCAAATATTTTAACGCAGTATTAGTTTGCAGAAGAACGTCGACAACGTACGCTTCTGCTATCTTTAAATTTACAATCCGTAAATATTGAAATCTAGAATTGTGTTCAGTGCATGCAGAGTTTTTCGTTGGTGAAGTCATCCAATTAGTGAAACTTGCATTTCTAGTTAATTACTTTCGCTCTTATTTGCAATCGAAATTGCACCTGATTGGTCAATATGTCATCGTCATCAGAACGGGATTCGCCCGATAACAACAACGAAAATGAAGAAGCTAATAAATTCTGGACTCCTCTTAAAAATTATCAGTCTTCAGAAGTTTCTCGTAAGAAGCGTACGTTTGACGAAATTAGTGACGGCGGTGTGCGTCAATACGATATGACGCTAAACGGCTTTAAGACGAACATGGATAGGCACGGTGCTCCGCAAGAAAAAAATACTGAACTATCCAAATCACCTCCTCCATATCCAGCGTATGGCAGCAATCCCAATTTCCATCCATCGGATTTCTCCAATATGATACCAAGTCAATTAAATGGAAACGCGAGCCCTGCATATTCTGATTATGGTCAACAAAACTCAGGGGTAAGTGCAAAGTTTGATTTAAAAATTCTGTTATTAATATAACACGCACTTAACAGTATGATATCTTGGGAAACTACAATTTACCCAGTTGGACCTCTGCTCACCAGGATTCTGTTACGTTACCAACCAATCTTAGTAACCACGAGAAACCACTGAACCTGAATTCTAACTACAACTCGCAGAATACCGCAGGTAAGTCCAGTTTTGAGATTTTCCGTTTTGTTTAATTAATTTTGTCATCCGTTTTTAATAATGTTTTTCTACTACAGAAATAGTTTCTGTTGTAGGTAATATTCCCTGAAAAATCAGTCATTAGATTGACCTGGAATTAGTGTGAAAATGGGTGATGAGATTAATCTGACAATTTTTATACAGGATGTAACAAGAAAAAATGGGTGGTAGAGGAAACCTAAACAGGTCTATTTTTTAAAATATTCGAGTGGGAATCTGTGCAAATAATTCTTATTATTATTCTCACAATACACATCATGTAGGTACAGAGCGGTCCATGGAATAAATTCATGTTATTATGCATTAATCATTGGGAAAAACTGCCACATGTCGATTTTTCTTTTTTTATCCTTATGGTAAAGTGTAGTATGAAATATGAAATATTACTCCTTTCTAGCACCCCCTCTGCATTATAAGATCTCCTTTAAAAATACCTTATTTGTGAATATGCAGTTTTTGAAATTGGTATATTTTGATATTAAATTAAAGGTTCAAAATTGAAATATACTAGAAAAAATGTGTTTTTTCTTCAATACGCGTAGTATTGTGATGGAGACATTATTAAAATTTTACATCGCCAAAATTAATTTCTCAGTTAAGATTGCACTAGATTAAAAAAAAAACTGTGTACTACTGAAGAGAGATTCAAAATAATTTAAAAAAAAAGATGCCCGCCGACCCCCTTGTTAATTCAAAATATTCGAGGGGTTGCTTATTATTCAGAAGGGAAGGGATATGTAATATTTTCTATAAATTCCCAAACTAAGCAAAAAACGGACTTCTTTCAGGTTTTTGTCCCAATAGTATTTCTAAGTACGTAATGCTAAAAATGGATTTCTTCCATGCATATGGACTGTTCTGTTGCTCTGTACAAATGTGTCTTTCCTGAAGTCTTCACATAGGTTTCCTTATTTAGTTTAATTATCTTAAAACCCCAACTGCAAGATCCACACTCTAAACCAGGGTTTGGAAACAAATTTCAACAATGTTGGTGTGCGGTATATCGAAAAATATTCCAACTGCAATTTATCATCTGACATTAAACAATTGGAAAATTTCATATTTCTTGATACGCCGCCGTCAGCTTATAAAAACATGACACTTGTTATAAGCTGGAATGCATAACTGACAATAATAGGTATGATCCTGTATACCCAACAAGATATCTTATTTTTAGCGCGTTTTTCAAAAGGAAAATGAATGCTATCGTGCTTCTGTCTTATACGATGTAGCACAGCCCCGAGACCCGACCGACAAGGGATTTTTTTAGATTAGTCACTTTTTTCCCGAGTTATTACTGATTCTGTGTGGGGAAAATGCGCTTTCGTCGGTCGGGCGAGTGACCATGTTTTTACCCATGGCAGCATATATAGAAAGAGATATCCTAATTCATTGTCTTTATTACCACGGTCACCAAAATCAATGAAAACAGTAACGCTAAAATTAATGAAAGAAAAATTAATAAGAGCAAAGGGCGCATCCTAACATGCGTGTTTGCATCTCATTAAAACCAACGTTGCTGTACCAATTTGATAATAAAGATCGAAATTGTCGTTCTACAGGGAAAGATTAGTTGCCCACATTAGCAATTGGCGAATTTGTTTTTGGTTCCTAGAGCAGAAGGCGTTTTCCCAACAACTCTCCCTTGAGTCATTATGTTAATGATGACCACCGATACCCCTATATTGGGTTAATACGTTTTGTCTTCCAGCCTAATATTTTTTTGTAATTCCTAGAATCTGAGGTTCGTGCTTCTACGTATTAAAGTCAGACATGAATATCCCCGCAAGCCGTATTTAATTATTTTAATACATTTCCCCCGTTAAGATCTCCGCTAAGGGATGTATATTCCATTTCGTGGTTTATTACTTGGATGTTGAAAATTTAAATAGTTTCTGGCGTACATATAGTGATATCAAATCAATTTTTTAGTGATTATTATAATGGACGATAAATCCGCCATTATTCTTTTGACACGAGAATCGAATGTAGTCACGCATACAGATCTTATCGAGTGTTATTTTGACCACCAATTCCGCTCATGTAGTAAAACTTGTTTTACCAAACCTGTTCGAAGGTTATGAATTCATTACGCCGACGTCTTTGTTTGTTATTTGTGTGCCGATATGTACATAACGTCTATATACATAATGGAATTTTTTGTTATTGGCTAGCAATGGAATCTGTCTACTCATCAAGTGTTAAGGGATGCAGTAAACATGGCCGTTACCCTTACTAACGCGATGATTGACAGATTCAACAGTCCTGCTCAAATTTCACATTGAATTATGCCTGCTAATGCTCACGCCTTGCAGTAACGTAAAATCTTTTCTTCGGTTGGGGAGTTCAAGGAAATTATTCAACCAAACATTTGCGTGTTAGTAACAGAATCTTATTAGTAAGCCTGAAACTTTGAACAAACCGCACAGTAGCTTGTCGAGACCGCAGATTTCAATGTGAAAATGTTTAGAGCTCTCGAGGGATTATAGCAACAACAATCTTGTAATGCCCTAGTCTCGTGGGGAGCGAAACGTGAGAATATGGCAACAAAGAGAACTTAGAACTGGCCGCCTGTTGAATGTTCCATATGCGTTTGGCATATTTTATGTCAGATTATCACAATACTGACCTCGTGCGTCTCCAAAAGATACTTATGCAATATATTTGAATACCACAAAACTGTATTCGCTATCCCGACTCGAGTTTGAGTGACCGTAGATATCGACCACTGAGACTTCTAAAACTTTTATCCTAGAAATCAAACGAAATCAGGGAACGATGCCTGTTAAGACTTTTGTTTTATTCATAAACTTTGAGGCATATTCCCCTTTAGAGTTATCCCTTATTGACTTATCCGGCGGAACGTTTCAGCTATATTTATACCGGTTTATAATAGGGGCGTTCGAAATTTAAAGATGAAAGAATGACGATGAAAAATAGCGAAGCTTCATTTCCTTTATCCGCGTTTTCATATCAATCCCTCCATTTTTAGACGTTTATGTGCAATAACTTACAACAAAAATTAACATATCTTCTATATTACAGATTTTCATGACCACCCGGTAGCGCTCCAAACCGGAACCGGAACCGGCACTAAGCGCGCCCGCACTGCGTATACATCGTCGCAGCTTGTCGAACTTGAAAAAGAGTTTCATTATAACAAATATTTGTGCAGACCGAGAAGAATTCAGATGGCGCAAATATTAAATTTGACCGAACGTCAAATTAAGATTTGGTTTCAAAATCGTCGCATGAAGTTCAAGAAGGAACAAAAAGCGAAATCGTCATCGCCAAATGCGTTATCGCAAAATGACAATCCATCACCTCCAGCTTTGTCACCTTGCTCTAATAACTCCGGTGGCGGATACACACCTTTGGCAACACAACCGCAGAGCCAATCGACTAAATTAACGAACGATCAGCAAGCGATTGTGAATAAGCTTCTTTCGCATTCGCCTACTCCAGTACCCCAGCAGCAGTACCTACCGACGTCATTATCGACGTTACCCGCATACACCAGAATGGCGCTTCCCGACAACGAGGTCATAGACAAGCATTATTACGAAAACTTACAAATGCAAGCTAGAAATTTGGCCGAAATGAGCTACTCTTACAACTTACAGTTCAACACTTACAACGACGTTTACACCTCCGGAATGTTTCCTAATTCGGAAGGAAGCGGTCAGTCGGACGAGTACATTGTTCCCAAAAGAGAAACTCTCTCGCCCGATTCTGAACTGTTAGACTACGATAAGGTTAACGAGACTGATAACCGAATTAACGGATACAATTTCGGTCCATCCGTCAACGCAGCTTGGATTGGTCAGCAGTACGTTGACAATGTAAATGCGGCCAGCTTAACACAGCTTTGATACAATTCATCCAACACGCGGTGAAATATTACTTTATGAAATAAGGTTGACACTAGGTTAGTAAACCTTACCGGCAGTTACTTTTACATTAAGAGAGATTGATAGTTTTATCAAAATTATATTTAGTGATATGTTAACTATTTGCATATAGTTTAATGATTATGAATATCTATGTTTTTTATACGTTAAATTTTATATCTGTGATTAGGAATTTGGGAGCATCAGTAGGTATATATTGTATTTCGATAATTAAACCTCTAGACTTTATATCTACACTTGTAATAGAGATGGGTCAATTTTATTTACAGTTTTTTATGTAATAAATGGAAATGAATACCTACTTCATTTTGGGTGTTTTGTTTTTGCAAAAAAATTATTTGAACCGATTCGCAATGAAAAGTATGAAAGGCGCATTAATTCTCTAGTCATTGGTACATTGTTTTGAGTAAACGCTGGAAATATTGCAGCACTAAATGCGAATGTATTACAAAATCATGGAAATCTTTCTGAGACTTCTTACTTTTCAGCGCATCATTTTCTTTAGGATATCATTTGCAATACATTCGCATGGAAACGCTCATGGATATCACTCAAACGCATGCAAAAGCAAAAGCTATAATTTGCCATAGTTGATTTTTTCAACATTTAGTATAGGTTACTGTCGTTTGTTTATTCCATTTTAATAAAGATAAGTAAACAATTTAACTATGGGTACTTTCCAAATTGGTATACATCGGGCAGCTAGGTTGGGAATTTACAGCACTTACCAGTTACCATTCGATATTAAAGCTTAAAAAATTACACAAGGCAATCATCTTGAAACAAAAAAATAATTTTAGTACATAACACGTACGTGGCGGTGTCAGTATTATTAACTGATGAAACAGAGTAAAGGCCGATTCAGAGTTCCGTAACGGTATGAGGTACGAAATAAGAAATAAGCGGTAACGTAGGTCCGTAAGAGGTAAGGGAAAACCGTAAAACAATTGATACCTTGCATATGTGCAATTTGATTTTCTCTTTTGCGTCATATGTTGTCAAACTGACGTTTAAGACTGTAGTACCAAAGGTTATTTTGCTTTTCATAGACAAAAAGGTAGGTACCTAAACGAATATGGATAGTGACATCATAATCATACCGCTTCTAGTGTTAATACACCTTCAACACAAATGTTTAACGGTCGAATACATTCTCATCTTAATAAACAAAACATGATTCCGTAAGAGATAAGGTATGAAATGAAATAAAACTAGGCAGTATTCACATGTATGCTGATGATTGTCAAATATATTTTAAAATACTTCCTAAAGAAATTAGTACAGTTGCAGACTCTATTAACAAAGATATAGCCGCGTTTGTAAATACAGCAGAAGACCATTGTCTCAATCTGAATACCGCAAAAACACAGTTGATATTTTTCGGTACAAAGTCAAATCGAAATCTTGCCGAAGAAAAAATATCTATCCAATTTAAAGGTGATCGTTTGAAACCCTCGAATGTAGTAAAAAATCTTGGACTATACATGGACAACCAATTAAACTTCCAAACCCATGTAAACTCAAAAATTCACAAATCATATAATAATTTGCGGCGTTTATATTCATATAGGCATGTGCTGCCACAAAACACAAAAGCGTTACTGTCTAATTCCTTAGTGCTGGCACCTTTAAATTACTGTGATGCCGTTTACGGACCATGCATAACTAAACAAACCTGTTATTCAAAAGGTCCAAAATAGCTGTTTACGTTTTATTTTTGGAATACGTAAATATGAAAGGATATCACACACCCTCAATAAATTAAAATGGCTGAACATGGAAAACCAAAGAAAACTGCATCGACTCGGACTTTATCATAACATATTAATCACGCATAAACCCCCATACTTGTTCGAAAATATTTCTTTTAGAACAGACGTCCATAATATAAATATTAGGAAAAAAAACTTTCTCACCATACCTCTCCATAAGACATCACAGTATAAAGGGTCGTTCTCCTACAATATTGCTAAAGATTATAATATGCTACCGGAACGTTTGAAAGCAATTAGAAACCCTGGAACTTTCAAGGTCATTCTCAAACAATACCTTTACAATTCTCTCTAACTTGAATGCCATTTGATGTCAGTGATTCGATAGTAGATAACACTTACCTACTTAAGTATGTAAATTACAAGCAGTATTAACTGGTTGAGTGAAAGAACAGCTCAAACAAAGGTCGTTAGTATGATCATTTAGAAAAAGCTATGCTGAACTCCGCCACTTACTACCTTAATTGTTTGATACCTAAACTGTAATTTCTTTCTTCACCAAAACTTGCAATTGAGGTAATAATAAAGAGTATTATTATTATTATTATTAAATAATCCATTTCTTACCTCTTACTACTTACCTACGTCTTGCATCTTCCGGAAAAACTCTGAATGTCACCATTATAAATTAAATGTTTATTTTTCTTATTTCTTATCATTACCTCTTACCGCTTACCGTTACGGAACTCTAAATCGGCCTTAAGAGATCGAGATACTATCGATCGGTCATTGGACAATCACACGATCTCACTGGAGGGAGCGATAACTTTGTAAGTGTGGCACATAACAGCGTGTTAAAAACGATTTATAAAATGTTTAAGATCACAGTTGAACTGTAATCTTAATTTAAGCTAAAGAGTCACAGTTGCGTTGAAACAGAAGAAGTGGAGTTCTATATTGGAACGCCATAGTTTTTAAGATAACAACTTTGTGATTCGGAAAAATACTGGGTATACTACATACATCCATAAATTACTTTCTCGCTGAAACACGCGCTCGTTTCTCTTTTTAGCTAATTTTCTATCGAAGTTGGGTGTGCTATTGCAGCCACTTTCTCTGTTCGTCTGCCTGTCGGTCTTAGGCCTTAACTACTCCTACAATTTTCAATATGTTTAGTTCGTTGTTTCTGTATTCCGTAGTTTATAGCTCTAACACTTGAGGCACAAACAATTTTTGAAATTTTAACTAGGGTTCTAGTAAAAACAAACATAGTGCACATGTCTATGATTTCTTGGGAGGTACTGGCCAATCCATGGAAAATGCGCCAGTTACTCGCGTTAGGGCGAAAAGCCGAATCAAACAAAATGTCGATGACGTCGGTCTATCGTCCTGTCTGTCGATCCGTCTGTATTTTCATTCCCGGCTAAACGACTGAACCGATTGAAACCAAATGTAGCACACGCATTCTTACTCATGAAAGGAAGAGTAAAAAAGCTTTTTGGCAGAACGCGCATGCGCAAGTGTGCGAGTGATATCTGTGCTAGCCACAGCAATTTTTTTTAATGGAATGCTATTTTTGTAATATCTTGACTTAATTAAAGAAAATTGTGCATTTAAAAGGCAATTTATTTAGACATGCATTCAATGTCGTTGTCTACACTCTACAGATGCACTCACACCTTTTAACGTAACACAAAGAAGTTGAGCTAACGCTTATGTGCTCGATTTTCCGTCGTCTATCTGTCTGTCTGTCTGTTCCATCGAGATGTCGGCCCCTGGGTTACCTAAAGACCTCGGGTTTTCGTTAATTGATAGCTGCTATAGTCAATATTTGCCCGTTACTCATCATTACAGTTGCGTTACGCTGCAACACCCACGAGTTTTTGTATTACAAACAATGTATGAGGAATGTTACTGAAACCATCTCAATTTACAGCAGTGATACATCAAATTTACTCACAGATCTGTAGAGGGTATGTAATTTTGAATGTATAAATGACCACGTGCCAAAGTTTCGTGGTTTTGTATTACTATTAACTTAAGATTTAAAAAGTTGGTTTACATTTCAAATTGTTTTAATTACTTTAAGTAGATATTTACGTTAATATCTCCGTTTTTGTGAACTGACGTCTTGGAATATCCCATTTTTACTAGCACTGAGTAACCCTAATTTTCTTGAAAATTGCTAAAGACTGCATTTATTATATAGTACTTTGTAATAATTATACGTTGTTAATTTATGCGCCAACATTTCACATATTTGGTCCGTAGGTAAGTACGTATGTACTTCAGATATAAGACTTATGGTATCCCAAAAATAAGTTGTTTGGATAAAGTTTTGTCATTATACCTATATACCAACACAAAGATCTAAAATTTAGGTATCTAAAAGCAGTATTTTCGAATACCACTTCGGTGAGTTGTAGAACTATAAAATTGTGCGGATTGAAAAGTCAATTAGTATTGTAACATAAATTTAATTAGGTACGTGATTTACTTATTTACAATAAACTAACAATACATTTATAAGCCTTGATATGGATTAATTTATAACAGTAATTATTATTTATCACTATAATGGATTAATATATAACAGTAATTATTATTTATCACTCACAATGGATATATTCTTCTCTCAATCGCTCATTACGAGTACCCTCTTCCGACAATCCGTTCTTGAAGTATAAGGGAATATTCCCGATCACGATAAGAGGTCGAGGAGAAGGGCTATTGTTGGTAGAAATTAATTCCTGTCGTTAAGACCTTTCATTAGAGTACCATGAAGGATAAAACTAGTTCCACTCCTCCACCCCTCCCCCTCCACCCCGTACTTTGATAAGAGGACAGAGAGAAGGGCAGTCGTTGGTAGAAAACGGTTCCTTTCGTTGAGACCTTTAATTAGAATACAATGAGAGATACACTTAATTTTTATCCCCCCACCCCCCTCAGCTCCCGTCGCTCACTGATCTCGAAAAGAGTCCCACTTGAAAGTTATAGTTTTTGTCAGGTTCAACTGACGTTTTTCTCATCAACCCCCCAAATATGATTTTTCATCATGCTTTCAGCTTATTGCGAGGCTTATTGGCCTTGGTAACGTGCCTAAATTCCATTATGTCTTGATGAAGTTGTTGTCCTTGTTATTCCGAATAAGCTCCCATGTTATCCTTAAATTGATCTAAATGAGAATGTGACCTGTGCATCTTTAGAGACATCCTATTATACCCGATGATGCAAAACCAAATCCTGTCGGCTCGTTTCAGCTCTATGATTTCCCAGGAAACACTGAATGGGAAACCATGGACTATTGCCTTAAAACTGCATTACGGATTTTTTCTCCTCTTTGCTAAGTAACCGCGGGAAAATATCACACTCCATATTTCTTTTTATTTGAGGGAAAACAAAGATTCCAGCTTTAATTTTCGCCCCTGAAACCTTTCAATCAAATCGCTATAACTTTTGTAAAAGCAAATACTTTCGATGTCCAATCGCACTTTTTATTTATTTTTGCTTATTATTGTCAGAATACATTATGTAAATCCCATGCGCAAAAAAATTATTTTTTTGTTGACCGGCGTAATCTATAGCCATGATACA